AAGGGTTTAATTTCAGAGGATCTGATTTTAACCAAGCAAGTACAATGGTCGAATCAGAATAAATAAATACTTTATCAATTTTTGATTGCAATAAGATAGACACCTTTTTTGCCAGATTTGCTAAAAGCAAAGCTCCATTAAGTTCCAATCTAGGAATGGTAAGTTTTTTATTTATAGGTACTATTCTAGACTTTGAACAAACTAAATTTACATGTACTCTGTCAGGAAAAAATGTTCTTACATAAATGACTGCTCCATATGCTATCATGGACGAATCGCAAAACCCTACAAGCTCAATGCTATTTGCGTTTGTGAAATATAAATTCCGAGGAATCTCCAAAGTTTGCATGTTAATAAAACCCTTTATAAAACTTTTCCAAATGTCCAACAAATCATCGGGCAATACTTCATCCCAACTAAGTTTGCATGTCCAAATTTTTTGCATGATTACTTTGGCTGCCACCAAAATCGGGCCTGCCAACCCCAAAGGGTCATAAAATTTGGAGATCAAACTGAGTACTTGTCTCTTTGTTAAATATTCATTGATGTCCATAACTTTAGGAGTTGACAATTTAAAATGATCAGAAATGGTATCATAAGTTAGGCCTAGTGTTTTTACGGTAAAATTATTCTTACTCATATCAACCTCATCGAAATTTTGTTTATCTTTAGGGATGCCACTCAAAATGTTTGGTTCATTGGTACACCATTTATGCAGAAAAAATGATCGTGAACCCAATAAAGAAATTAATTCGTCTCTAAGCTTTATGGTCTCTTCAATTGTGTCAGAACCCGATAAGATATCATCTACGTATGTATTATTTAAAAGAGCTTTTGCTGCGAGAGGGAATTTTTTACCTTCTGAGTGAGCCAGCTCAGCCAAACACCTCGTTGCTAAAAAAGACGAGCTTTTCAAGCCATAGGTGACTGTCTGTAATTGAATATACTGTAAGGAACCGAGATGATCTCTCCACAGAATGTTTTGCAATGGCCGGTGTTCCGGGTGAATTAAAACCATGCGGTACATTTGTTTTATGTCAGTTAAAATTACGAATTTATAAGTTCTGAAGCAAACAAGAATATCGAATAAGTCTTTCTGGACTACTGCCCCATTGTACAAGAAGTCATTTATACATTTCTTTTGTTTCGATTTCATGCTGCCATCAAAGACAACTCTGAGTTTGGTGGTTTTTTTGTCTTCCCTTATAACGGGGTGATGCGCCATGAAATAAATCGAACCATTAGTTAACTCCTCTACAGGGTAATTGACAATTTTGGCATGATTTAAATTCAAATAATCATCCATGAAACTCTTATATTGTGAGAAAAGATCAGGATTAACTCTAAATCTTTTTTCCAGGTTTTCAAAGCGCTTTATAGCCACTGAAAATGAATCCCCCAAATTTATGTCAGTTTGTTTTAGTGGCAATTTCACCTGATATTGGTTATTTATTATTTCAAGAGAATTTTGAAAACAAGACTCGCAAGCTTCTTGCTCGCTGGGATATTCTGGAAATATCTCAGGGACTTTCTCAGTTTCCCAAAATTGAGACATGGTTTTTTCAAGATCTGAATAGGTCGCGTGAAACGCAAAAAAATTGCATGTGACATTTGCACAAGCAGAAATTGCACCGCTTACAATATAACCGAATAGGGTGTTTTGAAAATATATATTGTTGCATTTAAGCTTCTCCGAGAGAAAAATTTCAAACGCCACATTTGCACCCAATAAAAAATCAATCGGTCCCGAGCGGTAAAAACTGTCATCAGACAAATGAATATTCCGAGGCGTTTCAAACTCTGAAATATCAAAACTTACATTAGGCAAATTGCTTGTAATAGTGTCAACAAGCGCACACTTTATGTTTTTTGAATAATCAAAAACCAAAGATTCAATATTTAAATTTATTGATTTATTAATTTTAGTTTTAGTCTCCGATATGCCAGTGATATTCAAAGAACTATTAAAGGTTTTTAATCCTAGCTTTTCAACTAAACTGTTTGTTACTAAACAAATCTGAGAGCCGGTGTCAACCAGACCTCGGGCGTAAATATATTTGCCTTTATTAGATTTAATTTTTACTTTTAAGGTAGGTAAAAGTACAGATTCTTGCTGTGAGGCATTGGAATACATGACTCTGCGTTCAGTAGGAAAATTATTATTTTCACATTGCTTGTCCAAATGCAGCAGGGTATTGTGTTCCTTTTGACACATACCACACCGAAACAACATTTTACACTTTCCAGAATGAATATTCAAACATAATTTACAAAAATTCTGTCTGTTGACAAAAGATATACGATCCTTTACTAGTACGGATTTGAACTTTTTACAATTATACAGTTTATGTCCAGATATTGAACAAAAGGGAAATTTTACATTGGTTTGTTTTGTTAATAAACCGTAAACCTTTTCTTTAGTTTTATGCTCTGGGGTACTACTAGTTGCCTCTAAGGCTGTAGCTCTATTTTCTAAATAGGCCAAGAATTCATCCAAAGTCGGCAATTTGGAACTATCACGATCTATTTGATAGGCTCTGTTGGTAAATTGGTCAACTTTTCTACTTAAAATACAAATCATCACCATGTCCCAGTTGTCAACAGGCTGGGCTAGGTTTTTGAGAGCTCCAATTTGCTGCTTGATGCGACTTACAAAATCTCTAAGTGCATGAGCTGTACCTTTTTGTATGGCAGGAATATCCAAAATAGAAAAAATATGTGAATTTATGATCATAGTTTCATTATTAAATCTGTTATTTAAAATATCTATGGCACCTTGATATGAAGAATTTATTAGTGGCAGATTATCAATTAAGCTTAAAGCCTCACCCTTCAAATAATTTCTCAAATAAAAGAGCTTTTCAACATCTTTTAACTGTTGATTTTTATCGATGACAGCATTAAATATATCGATAAAAGATTTGAAATTGGTTAAATTTTTTCCATCAAAGGTAGGTATCTCGATTGGGGGCAATTTAGCAGCAGAAATAAAATTATTACTTTGAGTAGGTGGAATTGAAACCGATTGAGCAATATTAGTTGCTAAATTACTAGTATTAGCTGGTCCTGGTAAATTAGATTTAGGTAAACAATTTTTAATACTTACAATGACATCATAAAAAAGAGTTTCTACATCATCAATTGAATCATCATAGTTACCATCAAGGCACAGAATTTCAACTTGAATGTCTTTAAGCTTTTGAAAACTGTCCTGCAATATTTCCTTCCGAACTAAAAATTGGTCGGTTTTATACTCACTGTCAGGATCAGATTTGTGATCGGAAATATAACGACTTATTCTAACCATGGAGTCGATTGCTTGCTTTTTCTTTGACAATAATTTATCAATTTGCTTTTTGGTAGCCATATTTACAAAGTTTACAATCAAAAAAATAAGAAAATATCAAAAGAAATCTATAAACAAAATTTAAAATTACCTAATAAATTAGATTTTTTTTTTTAAAAAACTACTTAACAAAACGAAAAACGGATAATTGTTCATCCTTTAAATAAATAATGAAAAAATAGCAATAATTAATGCGAAAAATTCAGTTTTTCAAAAATAATGCAAATTCACTCAAATTCACTGCAAAAATCCAAAATACACAAACAACAAACAACAAAACGTAAACAAATGTTTGACATTTAATTTGAGGTTAAGCTGTCGGGGTGGTGAACTCTCACTTTCATGTTCGTTGCTCCGGGGCTGTACTTCATTGCACCAAGCAAGGATACTGCACCCGGGGTGACGGGTTGAACCAGACGAGAAAAAGAAGCACCCTTTTGAATTTGACAAGTGAAGTTTGTTTGCTCCGCCCCACTCTACTTACGCACTTCCGGTTCCGGCGGAAACCTTCGCTGGTGGCACGTGGAACCCAACGTTGTTTGAGACACGTGAAGACTGCACAGTGGATGATTGATTTTTTGCATCACATGGCGCCAAAAATCACGATGGAACAATCAATAACCACTAAAAAGGCACTTTTTGAGGGTTTTTAAAGCACTTTTAGGTTCCGAACTATCCAGTATCCGGCTCGAACTGGCCAAAATTATGTGCAAAACCACATAATGGAAGATAAATAACTTGATAATTAGTGGACTGTATAATTAGGTGGACTGGATGATCGACTGGATAGGGAACTAAAACACACGCGCTTTTCACTGACACTATATTTACAACAATTTACACAATATTTACACTATTTACAATTACTACTACAAGATGACAAGAAGCCAGAGCTTGCTTAGATGCCCAACAGGGCAGAGCTAGATTATAAAATTTATTAAAATGTGAAAAGGTTTCTGGATGCTTGTTAACGTGGACAAGCTCCAAGCTACACTGCTGCAATGACAAAAAATGGCGCGCAATATATTGACAGACATGACAAAATAGACATGACGACAACGCTGCAGTGTTGCAAACTTTATATGTATAAAAATATTTTGCCATCAAAAAGAGATAGCATGATTGTTGGAACATGTTTCCAACAGCTTGAAAATTTTCAATCACCTTGACCTGCCTGTGGAACTAAAAAAGATAATTTGACAAAAAAGTTTAAATGTAAGGTAAATTGTCGATTAATGACTAAAGCATACTACAGTCTAGCAGAATACTATGCCAGACTCTCTTTAGTTTGAATATTATTTTGTTTGTTCAATAACTGTTTACGTTTGCTGTTTTTTTTTTTCGAATTTTTGTTAGTTTCAACTAAGTCAATACTCAATTCCATTTTATCTTACCTATATAACAGTGTTGTACCTTGTCTTGTTGAGCGAATGGATCATTTTGTAGATTGTTTAATCATAATATTACCATTTGCGTTAGTTTTAATATTACCTCTTAATTGTTATTATTTTTAAGCTTTGTTCATAAGAAAATGTTCTTACAAAACAATAAAGCATATTTTGATTTGATTTGATTTCCATGCATATCGCCAACCCTGTATAGTGATTATTCAAACTTTGTCTCCCTCGTACTCATTTATTTAACATTGTTCCAGTAAAGCCCGTTACAAGGGCAGCGACGAAGAGCACGCGGAAAAGCTCCAGATGCTCCAAGAGGTACTCGCCCTCAAGGAAAAGTACTTCGACGTGATCCAGGATAAGAAACCGACACCGCCCCGATGCAAAAGAGCCAAGTCCGAAACCCGTAACTACCCCGACCCCCCTCGAAATCCCCTAATAAAACTAAAATTTTATCGATTTCAGCGTCAACGGACGACATGGAAGAGAGCACCGACATGTTTCTGGACGAAGACCTCAATGAACACGTGGTGCCCGCCGAGGCCAGCGCCGTCAACCTGCAGTTCCTTGAAGCGCGTCATGCCGCCGAATTGGAGCTCAGACGCAAACAGATCGAGCTGCAAGACCGGAAACTCACGCTGGAAGAGCGCGAGCACAAACTTGCCAGGGATAAGTTTGACTTGGAGAAACAGGAGAGGCTCAGGTGGCTGGAAATCGAGCACCAGGAACGCGCCACACACCTGAAGGTTCTCGAGCAGCAACAGAAACTAGTACAGATGTTTTTCGAACAACACAAATAAATACGAGTTTAATTATTATTCTTGTCCCTGGTTTGTCCAGTCCCTTGCATCTCAGACAATCGGTGCTGAAAATCGAAGTGTTTTCTTTTGTTGTTGCCGATTTTCAACGCAAAACCACCTCGACGATGTTGCACTATCAGGATTCAGGATCGGCAAAAACAGAGGCATTAACATCCCTAGGGATATCATGGAAAAAAAAAGAACTTTATCTAACTGGTCTAATTTATTCTTCTACTGACGTTTCATAATAGCGATAGCGATTTTTCGATTGTCATTTTAGTTTTCAAATTACTTTCTTTTAAGCACTATAATGCTTAAAAGTGTTACTCATTGCTCAGAAATAAAAAAAAAACACTAAACACAAATTTGAATTTTATCTATTTATTAGATGTAAATGCAATCACATATTTACCCTTCCGTACTCACACATATATTTTGAATACACCAAACACACACTGGGGTGTATTGTTGGGAATCTCTGCCACCAATGTTGGGTAATCGGGAGTTGACCGATGCCACGAATGTTGAGTACTTCGATAATTAAAACTCGGTATTGAATAAAAATTGTTATATTTATTAAAATTCTCGTTGAGGGGGGACACTTAGTTACAAAAATTGAGAGGCAACCCGACTGTCCAGAATCAAGTTTGAAATCTGAATGTCCCTTCTCTTCAACTATCTTCCACCCAGGAAGACCAGTTTGGACCTTTCGAAAGAAGGGTATTTTACAATTTCCTAAAAATACTACGAAGGCGTAGAAGGGCCAACATCAATATATATTTTTTAACGTGTATTTGAATCGACAATTGTCGTTCCGATCGACAATTGTCGATCCGATCAACAATTACGTTTGTTTTTTTCACGAAAACGCTGTTAGCTGAACCGTCAGTCTGGTGTAGACTGTTGGCAGATGCACACGAGATCAATTTTGATACTTCAAATAAAGAATCACGTGAGCTTCTGTCAACAATGGCATCTTTTAGTTCGCGTAGGATTAACCGAACTCAACTATTGTTATTATTGATTCATTACCAACTTGGATTTGGATACCAAGAGGTTGGTACCTACCTAGACAATTAAAAATGTGAAAACAATAAATGAATGTATTTTTCTTGCAACCTACGTTTTCTTCTTTAAATTATATATTATAAGTACCGCAGAAATAAGCTACATTTACATTGTGGTACCTATCTATACTAGATAGATATTCAAAGTGTTTGCAATAAATGTAAAATTTGAGTCCTTAATGTATAATATAAATTAATTGCATCCCCAGCATTACACCCATTTGGTCTTATATATTCTCGTTCACAGAGAATAGAGTCGCAAAGATTTTTTACATCGTTATCGCAAAAAGGTATTTCCCTTATGACATCTCTATCTTCTTTTATGACGTTGATTATTTCTTGAGGAATATGTACTAAACAGTTCGCACGTCCGTAATTTTCTGGAAGTTCGAACATACAAATTGGGCGTCCCGTTGGACCTCTTGAATTTCGAGAACGTCTTATTCTATGGGTATTCCATTCAAAAGCAACTTGATCCAGTTCTTCCTGAAATTGAAATATATCTTAACTTCACTGTAACACCATTTATGTATCTACACTGTATCCCAAATTGTTTGTAATCACCGGGTTCCTCGGTAACCAGCAGAAATAGAATTTTTCCTACGACCAAATACGAAAATGTCAAAATTCGCACTGGCTGGCTCGTTAGAAAGCTCTAAATATCACACGCGTGCCGAAAATACTTTGAATACGTGTGCTGAAAGTACTTTCAACACGCGCGTGGAAAATACTGTTGACAAAAATGACAGAGGAAGCAAAACATCATGTTCAAAAATTTACTTTCAATACGTGGGTAGAAAGTAGGTATTTTCAGCACGTGTGTTGAAAATTTAAAGAAATAAAATAAGAAGAAATTGGTGTAAATCAGTTTCTGGTCGTAGGAAAAATGGTGTACATTGTACATCACACGTGAGAAAGCGTCTCTTTCACACTCGTGTGAAATTTACCACTTTCTACACTCGTAATGTAATACTATTATGGTTTTTGCGACCCTATGTATCAGTTTTTCGTTTTCTTGAAACTTTGAATGTCGCAAACAAAATGTGCCATCTTGTTTCGTGCCACTAACCCTAAAAAGACAATATTAAAAGAAAAACGTAATTAGGCAAAATTGAAAATCGATATCGTCTTTTCCTCTGAACTTGATAAATTTAATAATTAGTTTTTTCAGTCATGTAGATTTTATTTAATATTATCATTAGGTTCATCGAGATTATCGGGGGTAATACCACGAGTGCTTCAAAATTACCGATAATTTTCATGAAAGCTTGTTGTTTTAATTACACGAGTTTGAAGAACGAGTGGAACTTGTACAACAAGCTTGAATGAAAATTATCCGGTTAATTTTTGAGCACGAATGGTATTTAGGGAGAATATTTCACGAATTTCATGAAAAATTGTAAAATTAAACTAAATTTTAATTTATAAATAACATAAATTGCCTCCAAATACTGTTTTCGGTTTTCACTCTCGTTTTTGCTCGCTTTTTTGGCTCGATTTTCACTTTATTGTCGTCGATTTCATCTCCTTCAGCTTCACCAAACCGATTTATTTTTATGAATTTTGTTTTTGACAATGTGCTATTGAGTTTGACGTCTCTAATTTACAATACAAACATTTCATTTTTAGGTTGTCAAAATGATGTTTAAACGGCTCAAGTATATATATATGTATAGGTGATAATTTCACGTTGTCATGATTACGTTGAATTTTCGGGGGTAATACCACGAGTGCTTAAAAATTACCGATAATTTTCATGAAAGCTTGTTCTTTTAATTCCACGAGTTCGAAGAACGAGTGGAATTTGTACAACAAGCTTGAATAAAAATTATCTGGTTAATTTTTGAGCACGAATGGTATTTAGGGAGAATATTTCACGAATTTCATAAAAAAATTTAAAATTAAATTAAATTTTAATTTGTTAATAACATAAATTGCCTCCAAATACTGTTTTCAGTTTTCACTCTCCTTTTTGCTCGCTTTTTTGGCTCGATTCTCACTATATTCTCGTCGATTTCATCTCCTTCAGCTTCACCAAACCGATTTATTTTGATGGATTTTCCTTTTCACGTCTCTAATTTACAATATCTACAAACATTTCATTTTTAGGTTGTCAAAATGATGTTTAAACGGCTTTATTGGTATATATGTATAGGTGATAATTCCACGTTGTCTGCTTTTTTTTGAAGACCCGTTATCTTGCAGGGTCTCTGAATAAGATACCGCCCCAAAAAGGCATAATTTCTATTTCAAGGATTTCACCCTGTATCTCAACACTGGGAACAAAACAAGGTGGCACAGTTTTGTTGACAGCATTCAAAGTTTCACGAAAAACTGATACAAAGGTCCCGAAAACACACATTCCTGTGAATACATATAACGGGTCTTCAAAAAAAAAAAACAAATCAAAGTTGGCTATGGGTTTCTAAACGTAGGTATGTCTTAGCCTTATTTTTCCTAACCTAAAAATTGAGTTTTGTAATGTCAAAATGTCATGTCAAAAATCCTCACCAATAAAGAAATAATAATTCGACGTACGTTTTCGTAATCAGAGCACCCTTTGATTTGTTTTTTTTTTGAAGACCCGTTACCTAAACGCTTTGTGTAGGTAGTCGATCAATTACAAGGTAAACGTAAAAAACCCAAACTAACCTGTATAAGTTGTAGGAAACAGTACTGTATGAGTGATTTATCCAAGTATGTACCTTCGAATAGCAGTGCTTCATCTCGTAAGAACTCAAAAAGGTTTATCCAATATTGAGCATTTTCTTTCCGTAAAATTGACCACCACGATTCTATTCGTTGATTAGCAGTACTTCTGCCATTTATATGGGCTGATCTATGATTGTTTTCTTCTCTGAATAGATCACAAAATAATATTTGCAAGGCTTTTACTACGCCATTCTCAGTGCCACAGTCACTTCGTGTAGTAACAGAACAACCTCCCAACATTCCAACTGCATTTAAATAATAGTTTGCAATAACTTTCGGATCGCTGGAAGTGGAACTCGCTCTAAGCCATATTATATGTCGCGAAAAACCATCTATACAGCCATTTATACATATTCCGTATCTCTTTAACTTATCATAGGAATCCATGTGCCACAAATAATTGAGCCCCTTACTGAAATACTGTCGCCGTCTTAATCTCCGTCGCTTTCGCGAATGTACCCCTTCAGGATCTACTACTTTAAGTACCTTTCGAACCATATCTTGAGATACAGCAAGACCATTCTGAATACACTTCAAGTGCATCCATCTGTATCCATGCATTTGAGCAGAAGCAGCTACTGCATCATTTACGAAATTATACACATCTTGTAGAGGACTGAAAGTTCTTCTGGAAAGACGAAGCCTCTGGAGATGCCTTTTAAGAGTCCATAAACTTATGAATATTCCATGGATATTTCGAAGAAATTGTAAAATTTCTACATGCTGCAGCCCCATTTTTAAATATTGAGTTATTAATATATCTATTTGATCCATAATGGAGGCCTGAAATTTGTCGATTGGACCGACAATTGTTGATTGGACCGACAATTGTCGATTCAAATACACGTTAAAAAATATATATTGATGTTGGCCCTTCTACGCCTTCGTAAAATACCTAATCCTTTTTACAAAGTTTATGAATGTGCTAAAATCTATTTATTAGGTACCACTATATTACTTAGAAAGTTTGTACAAGTGTGGACGATGACGTAACCTAAGGCTAAGGGCCTAAGGGTCGGACAATAAAAGAAGGTCGGTATGATAATATTGAACCGACAAAGACATTGTCGGGCCTCTCTGTAAAATAGACTGGTTACAATAAAACAAATTAGGAATACAAGAATAATTAAATGTTAATACAATTATTGCTGTGCTATATTATTGGGGTTACAACAGTATGATACCCCAAGCATTTATTGCTGATCCTTACCACAAAAAAAAATAGACGTTTAGGATATTAATAGATGTTTATTTGTTCAAAAAGTAAAACTTAACACTCAAAATAGCTATTTACCTAACAAGTGCGGAAAAATATTTTCCGCAAGTGGTAGGTACAATCTTTTTCCTACAGGCGAAAAAATTTAAAATTTTTCTTTTTTTTTTTTGACATATCAGTGCGGTAAATTTTTTTCCGCACTGACAGCCGTGCGGAAAAACTTTTTCCGCACTGATATGTCAAAAAAAAAAGTTTTACCGCACCGTGCGGGAAAACTCATTTTCGGCACGCATATCAGTGCGGAAAATCGATTTTTCCGCACGGCTGTAGGAAAAATTAATATTTTTGTACTAAAAAACAAATAAATATTCTGGTACACAAGTGGCGCACCCAGAATTTTTTTTCGGGGGGGGGGGGGGCTGGACTAGAGTAATCCACTTATTGTTCACCTATATTATTTGGAAAATGTGTCGCAGGCGAAAATTTTGAGTTATGGATGTATCGCATTAATAAAGTTGTTTCTTTATTACATATTTAAATCTTGCTTTGAAAAAATGCATATTGGCGTCTATTTCGAAACCCCCGCCTAAAACTTGAGTAATCATTCTACAGAAATAAAACCCGAAAACATTCCTTTATTTTCAAAGAATTGAAATATATACAAAATAATAATATGGGTAAAATGGAAAAATGAGCGAGCCTGCTTGTAGGCACTGAGAACATCTCGTTCGGTGATGATAATAATAATACTGATGGCGGGTATTATAAACTATTTTTACAAATAACTAAAACCTTACTTCTGGAATGACTTGAGAATGAGATATGACGTCATTCCAGAAGTTAAGTTTCAGTTAACTATAATACCCACCCTAACTGGCAGCTCCAATCTTGTGGCCCAATTCTAGAAAAATATCGCATACGAAATTTGATTTAAATTTGACGGCAATGTAAATTAAATGAGAAGCATTCGAAATCATTTCAAATTTCGTATGCGTTATTTTTCAAGAATTGGGCCCCTAGTGGATTAATTCACTACACAAATTTACAGCAATCTACTATACCGGGTGCCCACGAAATTACTTTCCGGCTGCCATTTTTTTATTTGTTTATCGATATCAACGAAACTTGCTAGGCTTTATATTCTAACGAAACGCCATTTTTATGCATTTTTGACAAGTTTTCCTGACTTCCGGTTTGATCGGAAATTACCGAAACTTTTAATTTTCAAATGGCACACCCTGTATATTTTTTTGTTTTTTGGATTCTACAGATCGTTTTACGTTCTAATGTACCACTTTTAAATCGAGTTTTGTCCAAATTTCGTTTTCAAATCAAATTTTAAGTGGAAAAAAAAATTACCTACAAAAATATTTCAACGAAAGTTAAGAAAAATGTCCTAGTGTATTATATCGTTGGTTTCGCTTTAAAATACTGCATTTAGTAATGTTATGAAAGTGATATATTTCTATTCTAGATTTTGATCTAGTGCAAAAATACTGAAATAATGAAAAAAAGTTCACAAAGATAAAATTGAGTTTGTATTTTTCTAAAATTAAGT